TAATGGTGATATTACTTGACTATCTTTTGAAAGCATTAGATTGGAGTCACATGATGCATTTGGCAGCTTTTCTTCATCGTCAGTTGCCACAGGCACAGACTCTATATTAAAATTATTTCCATCTTGCTTTTGTTCATCTACTTCCTTAGGTAGTGTATTGCCTGAGCCAGACTGCAGAAAGGCCTTGTCTGTTTTGAAAAATGGGAAGATTGATTGGTGTCTTCTAGCTTCTTTTTGTTCCCTTTGTTTTACCTCCTTACATTTCTGACTGCCTTATTTGTATTTATAGCTAGACATGGTGCGTGTGTGTGAGAAAGTGAAAGAAATGTCCCTTCCTTCCAGGCACTAACCCTATCCCTGTTTCAGTTCTCTGTGCAATGTTTAGACCACCAGGCCTAACTCATTACTTACTTTTGGGCCTGTAAACCCTACCAGCAACACTATGGCTTCCACTGTCCCTGGGATCAATGTCCCTAGTTATATTGTTAAGAAGGATGTGGATAACCTCAAGAGGGTCCAGAAGAAGACCACTCGTATGGTTAAGGGTTTATAGGCCGAGCCCTATCAGAAGGGACTGACAGACCTGGCCCTCTTCAGCCTCTGCAAGAGAAGGCTGAGAGGTGATCTTGTGGCTGCCTGTAAATTAACTAGGGGCACGCAGCAAGGAATCAGAGATGCTCTGTTCACCAGGGCGCCTCTTGGGGTAATAAGGAACAATGGTCACAAACTGACAGAGAGCAGATTCAGGCTAGACATCAGGAAAAACTTCTTCATGGTAAGGGTGGCCAAAACTTGGACTGGGCTTCCAAGTGAGGTGGTGCTCTCTCCTACCTTGCAGGTCTTTAAGAGAAAGTTGGATAGGCATCTGGCTGGGGTCATCTGACCCCAGCAGTCTTTCCTGCCCAGGGCAGGGGGTCGGACTCGATGATCTGTTGAGGTCCCTTCCAACCCTAGCATCTATAAATCTAAGAATATTGGCAGACAGCAAGTTTGCACATCTACACGTGTGCATGCTTACTGCTCAGTAAAAACACCTAATCATGAGTAAATTTGATACCTGCAAATGTAGGTATCAAATTTACTTGCATTAGTTACTGCACACTAATGCATGTGTAGGCGCCACCCGGGGGCAAATTTGCTCCCAGGTCAGCTTGGCCACTAGGGGGCTGGCCTGAGGCTAGCCCTATGGCTCTGGACTGGGAGCCTCTCCTGCCCCAGGGCTGGGCTGTCTCTATGGCAGCCCCTGCCACAGGCCTTTAAAAGCCTGCAGGCATTTTGAGCCCTGGGGCACACCAGTAGGGACCCTGAGAGAACTCCAGGTCCCTGTGTCAACTTGGGCAGGCTGCAGGCCAGTTGCCCCAGCCTGCTAGCCCCCTGGCATCACTGCCTGGCATCTCAGTGCCATGTGCCTGCCTTGCCTGTGCTGTCCAGGCCAGCAGGGCGCTGCAGCCTGCTGCAGGGTGCTGTAGGCTCCAGCCAGGCCTGCTAGCATCCAGGTCCAGCTGCAGTCTGCTTCTGGATGCCAGGGCCAGCTTCACCTACCCGCAGTCCTCCCTCAGCAGCCTGCCCTGAACGTGTAGGTCCTGTAGGGCATTGCCTCAGCTGTGTGGCTGCAGGACACTATCCAGGCCTGGCAGCACAGGGACAGCTGCATGGTGACCCATAGAGCCAACACCTGACCCCCCATGGAATCCTCCTTACCCATGCCCATGCCTGTACCCATGCCCACCACCCAGGGCCCCAACTGGTTGCAGGAGAAGACTGGTGATCTTGTGGCACTGTGAGGCGAGACAGAGGTGCAGTACCAGTGTGAGTGGGGCAGGTGCTCCAACACCCATGTCTATGATGTGCTGTCAGGCTGGATGCGGGAGAGTGGGCACAACCACTTGGCACATAAAGATCAAGGCCTTGCAGGGACAGTGGGTGGCCATCAACAGCCACAACTGTCAGTCAGGGAGTGCCCATAAGTACATGCCCTTTATGCAGCAACTGATGGAGATCCTTGCACCTCAGGATCCTTGCACCTCAGGATCCTTGCATCCCTTTATGCAGCAACTGATGGAGATCCTTGCACCTCAGGATCCAGGCCACAAGTATGCTGTCTACACCAGTAGGGGTGGCCTACCTGAGCTACTGCCCCAGGTTCCTTTGACCCCAGCTGACTTCCTGCCCTTGGGGCAGGCGGCTGGAGTCGATGATCTCCTGAGGTCCCTTCCAGCTCTAATGTCTATGAAATCTATGAAGCTGGGGCCCTGCTAATGCGCCAACTCTGCCAGAGGAGGACGCAGAACAGGACCCTCCTCCTGGATTGCCTGGTCATAGTGTTGGAGGATCACTGGCAGACACTTGGGCCTGGCAGGTGGAGAATGTAACCCACCAGGACGGGTGGCAGGTGGAGGACGTGGCCTGCCAGAACAGGTGGTGGGCAGAGGACGTGGCCTATGAGGAGGCACAGGACCGGTACAAGAAGGTGTGGAACTGGGTGGACAGGGATTTCTGGGCACAGATTCTGGCCATGGAGCATGAGCAGCTGGAGACACTGAGAGAGCAAACCGCAGTCCTGGCCAGGGCAGTGCAGGCCACAGATGATGACTGCCGGGTGCTGCATACCATTCTGGCCCTGTGTGGCGGGGCACTGATACTGCCTGCCATTTTAAGAACTGGGCCAGGGAGGGGCAGGTGACCAGATGTGGGTGGTCATTTTAAGGCCCAGCTCCCTGAGCTGAGGGCAGTTTGTGATCAGCCAGCAGAGGAGAAACAGGGAGTGCTGGAGGAGGTGGTCCGCCAGTGCCTCACACACCCAGTGCCCTGGCCCCCAGTGGCAGGTGCACAGCTCTTCTGCACCTTGGCGGGGGGGGAGGGGCTGCCACTGTTGCTGTCGCCACAGGTGGTGCTCCCGCCTCCACGTGTCCTCTGCCTACTGTGCCTCCTCTGTCCAGGCCTCATGGAAGAGCTCACCCTGGGCCTCACAGATGTTACGTAGCACCCAGGCTGTGAAGATGACCTGGGGGAGATTGTTCTCAGTGAATCTGAGGTGGGCAGTAAGGGTGCACCAGCAGCTCTTGAGGTGCCCAAAGGTGCACTCCACCAGGACTTGGGTCCAGCCCAAGCAGTGGTTAAAGTGGGCCTGGCAGAGGTCTAGCTGGCTGGTGTAGGGGTGCATGAACCAGAGCAGGAGTGGGTAGGTGGGGTCCCTGATGACCAAGGGTGGGACTGCCATGGCACCCAGCTGCAGGTCCAGCACCCCTGGTGTGAAGCAGCTGCTCTGCACCAGAGCTGGCAGGCCAGAGTTCCTGAAGAAACAGACGTTGTAGGTGTTGCCTACCCAGCTGGCGCTCACATACATGAAGGCCCTGCAGCGGTCCACAACAGCCTGCAGCACCATGGAGTGAAAGCCCTGCCCGGCTGTAATAGGGATAGTCTTTGTGGGACAGGCAAGTGATGGGGATGTAAGTCCTGTCCAGGGTCCCAATTCACTGGGGGAAATCCAGGGCACAGAACACAGCCATCACTGCCAGGGGGTCGCGCATGTGGAGCATGGTGTCTGCCAGCACATCCTGAAGGGTGCCACACACCTCCAGGACTGCCCCCCCAGTGGTGGCCTTGCCCACACCAAACAGGTTGCCGCTGTACAGAGGCTGTTGGGTGTGGCCAGCTTCAGCAGGGTGAGGGCCAGCTGGGTGTCTGCAGGGATGGGTGAGCACATGGTGGTGTCCTGCCACTTCAGGTGTGCCTGGAGCTGCTCCAGGAGATCCTAGAAGGTGTCCCAGGGCATTCAGAATGCCTCTAGTCACTGCTTGTCATCCCAGGTATGCTGGATGACATGCAGCCACCAGTCCTGGCTGGGCCAGAGGGCCCAGAAGTGGCATGGCTGGACACTCATGAGGATGACAGCGGTCCCAGCAGTTGCTTTCTGGAGCCCGTTGTCAGTGTCACTGATGGGGTCTAAGGCAGGCAGATGGGATTGAGGCAGCAGGTGTGCAGCAACGGCCCTGGGATAGTATGCGGCAGGTAGTTGCTGGACATGGGGGAGCTGGGAGGGCCCAGACAGCCATGAGCAAGGTGGCATTTGGTGCGGTGGGCCAGCAGGGCCAGCAGGAGTGCTGGTCATTGCTGCCAGGAGAAGGGGCTGGAGCAATCATGGCATGGGGAGGCACAGGCATCGAGGACAGTGCTGCCATGTGCTGTTACTGTGCTGGGCATGCTACTCCCGGCCAAGGAAGGGGCTGGCCACAGAGCAGCATGTGGGCCTGGCTTTTGAAAAGGGCTGCCAGCTGCTGCCAGTTGCAGCCAAAGCCTGGAGCTCCCCTGGTGGTGACAGGGGTCCACTGCAGGACCCCAGGAAGTAGCGGCAGATTGGCAGCAAATCTGCTGCTGCTTCCCTGCACATGTAGATGCCTGCCTGGCATCATTTACTCATGAGTAAATTACTCATTTCTGCTTCCATTGAACTAAATGACAAAATTCCTACTGATTTCCCTAGAAGAAGGCCTGAAATGTCTTGAGTAAGGTAATTATCAGTAAGAAAATGAAGACCAAGAAACATTTCAGGTACAGGATTGTAGGATTTATCAACTATAAGAGATTACTTAAAATATCAAATAATGTTTAAAATTCTTAAAAATATGACATTTTTAAATTTACATTTAGGAACAATGATTTATTTTCTGTTAATAATTGTCATTCATGTTCTGAACTTAGTATAAACACTATATGCCAGAAGGCTTGGCACTGATCAGAGCCCTCAGAAACAGTGCTGAAGATCTGAATTTGGCAGGAAGCTCAGCAGAAACTGAAGGAATATGTAGAGGGAACAAAGCTTTGGTGAAGGTCTTTCCAAATCAATCTCAAATGTAAAGGGACCAATAGGGTGGTGATGCCCTCATATCTTACAATCTAAGTTAGGTGACCCTGGTAAGCTCTTGAATAGGAAACTTTCAAATTTAAAAAAAAGTTGAAGAAAATTAGTGGTTCTATCCTTAGAATTTTCTTTGGTTTTACATTCCAGCATGCACATAACTCTGAAATTAAGGGGAATTTTGTGTACTGATTTTGTATTGGGACGATGGCTTAATGTTCAGAGGAAAATCAAGACTGATGATATATATTTATGTTTCTGTCAGTGCATGTGTTTATCCTTAGTACACACCCATTTAACTTGAGAAGGGTCTGTCTAGCCATGTGACTGCATCTCACTGTGGTGTGCTGAAGGCTTACCTTTCCTGAGGTATATACTTTTCTGTTAGTTTTAGATTGCTCATCACTTTTCTTCCATAATTCATATGCTTAGAGTAACAGTTAAACAACATGTTTGCAAAGCAATGAAGTATATAGAATACATATTTTATAAATATTTTGGTGGGACTTGTGTTTAATGTATATGGATTGCTGCTATACTTCTACCTTAAAGACAGAAGACCTTTTGATCTATCCCCGCCAATCAAGGACTTTTGATCAGCACAAAATACATGAAAGCATTTTAAAACTGCAAGGAGTGGGGAAAAAAGACAATGGGCTCTGAGCCTGGATGTTAATTCTAGAGAGCAGTGATACATTAAAATAACCTACAAACCAGGCAGGCAGCAGGACCCAGCTGCAGTAACAATCCCTACAGACTATGTCATCATATTCTATCAGAAAATACGAGAGGAACCCAGTGAAAAGCAAATTCACTGTCCTGCACATCCACAGCTGATTACAGAGGCTCTGAATAAAAACAGGTAGGTCGTATATATCATTGACTGCAAATTTTTTAAGATAAAGTTTTTATTGGGCAGAAGAGGCTGATGTAAGAGTATGCATGGATATTTGTAGATTATGTGGGCAGTCTGACTACTGAAAGTAATGTAATACCTATCTGAAAAAGAATAAATGCCAAGAAGGAGAGGAGCGGATTTTGGTTTTCAGAAGATGCATACATCAGAGTAATAGGATGAACCTGAAACAGCCAGGGATAAAAAAAATAGGAGCTAGAAGGCCTCTTCTGCCTCTTTAGTGTCTGTTATATCAAGGTAATTTGCATCATCACAGATCCTCACAGGAGGTGAGAGGCTCCATACCAGCTATGAACTGACTGCCCAAAGGAGTTTTCCATCTATCGACTCCTCTGTGAAATCCTATGAAATATGAACTTTCCTGTCTTCTCAGGAGAACTTTTATAATCTTTTCTCCAATGCCTGATGAAGGGTATTTGTGCCCAAAAGCTTGCAATTAAATTTTTTTTTTTTTTGCTAAAATCTCGTTGGTCTAATAAAAGATTTCCTCTCTACTAGAAGTCTTGGTTGCCTTTTCCTTTAGACCAATATGGCTACAACCTGGATATCTGTTATATTAGTGACATTCACTATAACGTTTTGTACTAATTATTAACACATTTAATCTTCTCAATATTTCTACACTGTAGTGCTACTTAACAATCTAACAGAGAAATAATTAGAATGAAATAATCTTAAGACCATTTTGAGTCAGAAAAAAGCCAGTATTCTATTTTCCTTAGGCAGAATTGATAAGGAATAGTACCTGCTTTCAAAATTCTTGGGTTCAGTTCAGTTCATGGTATTTCACTGAAATCACAAACTCATAATGAAGATGAAAAACATGCCCTTCATTCTAAAAGAGAAGCATGAATTAAGTGTTTACTTTTTGACAGCATTATAAGATAGTGAGTGAAGAAAATAACATCAATGCAAATTATTCCACAAAGCGTTATTAAAAATGCATTCAAATTGGCATTTATCCAAATAGTACCACTTGCACTGAAAGCTGATTGAGGAACCAGTGAAATAACTACATGTAATGTATCCTACTGGGGAGTGGAATGGCATCTAGTAAAGTCCAGTCTGAACTGGTAGTGAATGCAAAAACCAGTAAGGAGTAAAATAATATGAAGGGCCTGAGTAGGAGGAAATATCTAAGTATCAATTTTAGATAGTCCTAGGATGTCTATCACTGTGACATCTACATGAAAAAGCACAACGAACCTTATCTTGAAAAAAATGCAAACTAAAACTCACTCAGAAAAATATTAGGCCCAAGACTTTAGGGGAAGATGTTAAAAGAATTGAAGCAGTGTGTTGCTTAATCTTCTAGTCCAGGGGGCCAGGTGAGTGGTTCAGGGCTAGTGTGCAGGCTGGATCCTATAGGTGAGGACAGTCTGCAGGCTGGATCCACCATGGAGGCAATGTGCAGGGTTAATCTGCGGGTGCAATCTGGCATCCCAATCTGGCCCTGCATGCCAGATATGGCCACAGAGTGACCCTGTGTTCAGGCCCGGCCCTGCATGCCATGATTATGTCCAACTAGATTACCTTACAGTTAAGTTTCACTGGGTAAAATATAAAGGTGATGTAAACTGTAAAGTTAAGCAAGAACTAGTTTAAGCAGATCTATAGTAATGCAACACAGATGTTAAAAGGATCCAGAATACTGTATGCCAGTTATCAATATTACCCAAACCCCACCTGCTTTCCCAGACTTCAAATATAAAAAAGAACTTTTCTTTTCTCAGCAGCAGTTCTCTGAAGAATGGCTCTGAGTGACCTCCTCTACCCAGACAACCCAAAGAGACGGCAAGAAGTGATCCGGCTGCACCAAGAGCTGCTTGACTGCATGTCAGTTAACTTCCTTGCCACCAATGAACTGATTGGCGTGCTGAATGCACATTTGGGGTGTTCGATTGCCCACATCCAGATGAGAAAGACTGGCACCATTAAGGAAAACTGTGACATTATCATCCAAGCCATGGGTGAGATTCAACAGGAAGTCAGGAAGATTGACAAAGAAATGAAGGAAAAACTGGATCCAATGCTGTACCAAAAACTTTGTGATATCAAAGAGCCGGAGGTGGGGAAAATAGCAATAGCACACAAAGTTTTTTCAATTATTCTTGGGGAAGCTACTTCCACTGCTGGTCTGTTAGCTGTGAAACTAATTGGCTCAAATGTTATAACCAATACCGTTAGCAAACTGGTCACTCTGCTTGCCCAGATTGGTGCTTCTGTTCTTGGAGGTATTGGAATTGCTATTCTTGGGCTAGGCATTGATGTGGTCCTCCAGGCCATCCTAGGAGCAGTTGAGAGGGATCAGCTGCTGGCCTCTGTTAAAAGTTATGAGGATCACCTGGCTGAATTTAAGACAGCCTCAGAAAAATATTCATGTGCCATAAATGAAGCAACTTCAATAGTGAAACATAAAACTCAGTGAATGGCTTTTTAAGTTGTCTCTAGTTGTCACAATGACAGAATTTACTAGATGTAAGAATCAAACCAGTTCATGTACACTTTGATCCTTCATGGTTGAGCAAACTTTTTTCTTTAACTTCAGGCATTTTTTGAGGTGGCACCAGGGATAGCTCAAAGAGTTGGAACTGAGCTCTTTCAATAACTGATTCAAGCCCACTTCAGAAAAGTAGTATATGAAAGTACCTGCTTCTGGTGTTTGCTGAGATTATGGGAAATAAAATGGTCATTCCTAATCTAGTAAACTAGTGGTCAAGTAGCTGCAGAAGATAAAATCATCATCATGCCTAACTCTAATTCCCAGGTTCTGGAGAGATGCCAGTAGCTGAATAAAGGTCAGATCTACACTAGAAACTTTTGTCGATACAATAATGGTTTAAGAGTGTGATTTTTATGATGTTTATTTTTTATTGACAAAAGCCTGAGTGGAGATGCAGATACACTGAAAAAGAAGGTGGGCTTTTCTTGTGTCAGAATCTCCACATTTGGAGGGTTACTGGTATTGCAACTTTTTTCTGGTGCATACTAGACCTAATCTTGATATACAGGATTCCCCTCTCATGGTCATCTGTCAATGCTTTGACTCTGTATCTATGAAGCCACCCAGTGCCCTACTTAAAATGAACTCTAATCCTGACAGAGTTGTGGTTTGAAAAATATGTGCGCACACAATTTAAGCTCTACAGTTAAGAGATGAAAAGAAGGTTCCAGCATTCCAGAGATTCTATGGGCCCAATCATGAAAACACACGTGCAATTAATATTGTGCATACATGCAGTTCTTCTGGGTTAAACGGATCTACATCCAGGCAAAAGTGCTTGCAGGACGACTGGCCTACAAGGACATGCTATTTTCTTTTTTTTAAAGTGATTAATGGATGAGTGATATGGGATGGTAGTGGGCTTGTTCAATATATTCACAGCCTGTAAAACATCACAACACAAATACTACAAATCTAAATGTGCCTAGTTTGGAAACAAACGGTTAGAGCAAAGAGTTTGATTTGTATGCCCCTTCTCTGAGACACACTGAAGTTTGGTTTTTTTTGGCTATGTTATTTGAATAAAAATTGTAATTTTAAAAATATATTAAACCTGTACCATATTAATTTTGAGAGCTCTTTTCTCTATTTGGTTGACTTAGTTCATAGGCACTTGTTTTTTGCCTCAAAAATTAGTCTAAAGCTAAATCATTCACATTCTTTACTGGTACTAAGAAAGGATGCAATATATGTTACAATATAGGTTGTTTATAAAGTCCTTGCGCAACTTTAAACTTTAATAACTTTGGATGTACACGATAGAAGCAAACTGTAAATGGTGATTGAAAGCATAATACATTAAGTTTTAACACAATACAGCTCAAATTTCTAGACTTCAACATAACTGCCATCTTTTGTGATACATCATTCAATCTGATACAAAGCGCCCCGAAGGATGATGAGGTCAAACAGTTATAAACTACTGCAAGACCGTTTCAGGCTGGACATAAGAAAGAATTTCTTTACTGTCCGAGCCCCCAAGGTCTGGAACAGCCTGCCATCAGAGGTGGTTCAAGCACCTACATTGAACACCTTCAAGAGTAAATTGGATGTTTATCTTGCTGGGATCCTATGACCCCAGCTGACTTCCTGCCCTTTGGGCAGGGAGCTGGACTTGATGATCTTCCGAGGTCCCTTCCAGCCCTAACGTCTATGAAATCTATGAAATCTGATTTTCCAACTCGTAGAAAACATTTTCTAGCTGAGTGATTTCATGACTGGCATTTATGAGCCTTGCCCTATACAATGCTTACACTATGCTAAAAAACATAATGAATTATGCTTTCAGTTGCCAAAGTTATTGAAGTTTAAAGTTGCACAAGGACTTAAAGTCACCTATATAAGCACTTATATAAGCACCCTGTATATAAACTGTACAGATCATTATATGAAAGTTGTACACAGGCTCAGTTTTTTATACCAAGACATACTGTGATAAAACTATTCAGAAAAGACCCAACAGTGGATTTCTTTGGTAACAACTAGGGTATCTGTGTAAAATCTGAAGCAGCTCTCCACCTTTTTATCTTTCTATTCTCATTCCTTTATTCATGTTTGTCTCCC